AGTGGTGATTTCTGAGATTTTGATTTTGGTGTACCCATCACCTGAGTGGTGTACACTGTACCTAATGTGTAGTCTTTTATCCCTCACACCCTCCCAGCCTTTCCCCTGAGTCCTCAAAGCACATTGTATCATTCTTTTTTTTTTTTTTTTTTGAGACAGAGTCTCATTCTGTCACCCAGGCTGGAATGCAGTGGTGCGATCTTGGCTCCCTGCAACCTCCACCTCCCGGGTTCAAGAGATTCTCGTGCCTCAGCCTCTTGAGTAGCTGAGATTACAGGCTCCCACCACCACGCCCGGCTACTTTTTGTATTTTTAGTAGAGACGGGGTTTCACCATGTTGGCCAGGTTGGTCTCGAACTCCTGACCTCACGTTATTCACCTACCTCAGTGGGCTGGGATTACAGGTATGAGCCAGTGTGCCCAGCCCATTCTATCATTCTTATGCCTTTACATCCTCAGAGGTTAGCTCCCATGTGCACGTGTGTGTCTATTTGCACCCTCCCTGCCCCTCCAGTCCCTCCCTCCTGTTGTCCTCTGAGCAGTGTGGCCCACACTCTGCTGGTCAGGGTTCTAGCCTTCTGGCACTTAGCTTGGCCAACAGTGAACCCCCTGGTCAGGAGCCCAGGGCACCCATCCTGGGGATGGGGTCTCCTTCCCAGCTCCAGGCAGCCGTCCTGGGGATGCAAAGCAGTCAGACTTCTGTCGGAAGGGCCCTGTTGGGACATGTCAGAGGCGGGTGCGAGTGAGCTCATCCACGGGCTCACAGGATCCTCCAAAACAAGGAGCCTCCCGCCTCTCACTGGGCAGGACACTTCCATGTCCCTGTGTCCTGGGCACTTGGCCCCTTGACCACCTCTCCCCCTCTGGCTCCCCTGCCTCTCCTCAGAAGCCGTGTGACCTGGGGAAGACCCTGCACCTCTCTGACCATGCGTCTCCTCTGCGGCCAGACCTTGCTCTAAGCCCCTCCATGCTCCAGCATCCTGGGCCCTGGATGCCCTTCTGCCACCCAGTGTGTGACACTGGTAGCCCCTCTACCTGCCCAGTGGCCCTCATGTCCCCTGCCCACTACTTCCTGGTCTCCTCACCCAGACTCCCACCTGCAACCAAAGTCCTGACCTGGCCTCCTGCTGTTGCCAGCTCACCCACCCATACAGCTGCCCAGGCCCTTGACTCTCCTTCCCACCTCTTCTGCCAAGTCAACCCCCCGCCCCCAGCCCTGCAAGCCTGGAGTTCAGCCTCCCTGAGGAGCAGGGCACAAGGCTGTGTGGTGCGGGGCAGGTTGCTCACCCTCTCTGGGCCCCAGTTCTCTCAGCTGCCAGCTGGTTAGAGCAGAAGGGGCCCCGTGCCAGGTGTCAGGCTGGCCAGTTCGACTTCCCCTCCCTCTTACAGCACTGGGATACCCTCAACACCCCCAGCCCCTCAAAGTCGTCTCAGCCTCCTCCTGCCCTAACCACTACCATTGGAGCAGGTATCTCCTAGGCCCCCGTGGGTCATGGATCTCTGGTAGGGTGAATGGCCTGACAAGAGCCTCCGTCAGGGAGAGGCAAGGCTTAGAGAGAGAAGACCAACAGTCCAGAGGCCTGGAGAGGAGGCCATTGCAGGGCCGGGTACAGGACCATGCCGGTGCCATGATGGCTCCGTCCAGCTAAGCAGAGGCTAGAGGAGCTGTCACAGGTTGGGGAACAACGATGACCACTCCCCGGCTATTTGCCTGCCCCAAGCCCCCACACCCCAGTCCAACATTCTGCCACTGCCCTCCCCACTCTCCCCTGTCTGTGTTCCCGGCTGTTCAGTCCACAAATGGGGCCCACGGCCTCCCGGAAACCCTGTACAGGACTCAGAGAGATCTCAGACACCCCTCCTTGAGAGGTTCCACGGTAACTGTGGCTGCAGCCCAGAGAGATGCGGGAGGGCACTGTCCACCCTGATGGTGGCATGGGAGGGGGTAGCATTCCAGGCAGAAGGAACAGCCTCTGGGTTTGGGGGTCCTCTGGCAGACTAGGTAAGAAGGCTGCACAAGGCGGCAAGGGCCTGGCTGGAGTGGCCCGGGTCCTGGCACAGAGATGCAGAGTCTGGTGTTGGGCGGGAGAGCTGTGTGCAGAGGGCGGGGTGGGCAGGCGTTAATGGAGGCCCCCCTCGGCCTTTGATGAGGGCAGCGCCTGCCTGCCTGCCTGGCTAGGGGTTAATTAGCCTTAATCAAGGTGGCACCTCCTTCCTCCACCCTCTCCCTCAGGCCTAGAAGGGAAGAAAGGGAGGGAGGAAGACGAACAGGCGCAGAGAGGACCCACCCTAGCTGAACACATAGCCTCTGTCATCCCTGCCACCACAGCCAGGGTTCCAGCGGGTCACCCACCACCCATCTTGGGGGTGAGGAATGACAACTGACCCAGGACACAGGGGTGAGGTGCTCAGCCAGGAAGGAGCAGATGGATGCCTTGCTCCAGCTTTGTCCCCTTAGCTGGGTCCCATGCCCCTCAAGGCTCTTGGGGGGGGCCTCCTCCTGGAAGCCCTCCTAGATTGATGTTTCCCCTGCGCTGCTCCAGCCCAGCCCTGAGTGTAGGTAACAGGCTCATCTGTTTTCTTTGCTGGACACTCGAGTGCTGAGCAGGCACCAGGTCCCACTCATCGCCCAGCTGGGGATCCTAGGGTAGTGTCCTACCCAGGTGGGCACCTCGCCAGTGGCTCGTTGGATGAACAAGTGAAGCATGTGCCTGCTGTGGAGGGGCTCTTGGCCTAGGGGAGAGGCGGGCAGGAGCTGACACACAGGGGACAGGAGGGGACGGGCTTATGCTGGCCCAGCAGGGCTCCAGCTTCACAGCTGGGGAGTATAGGCTCTAACCCCAACCCACACCTCTGGCTCCAAACCTTGCATCCTTAGTAGGGAGGTTGCCCTGTGAAGGATGTGTGGCACAGGCCTGTAGCGGTGGGGATGTGCCAGCCAGAGGTCCCAGCTCCCGCAAAGGCCGGCCAGTGTGAAAAAGCCTAGTGTCTTCAAAGAACCACCAGGCAGTCAGTCTGGCCCGGATGTGGGGGCAGTGGTCATTCATGCACTCACCAAATGCTTAGTGAGCACCTACTGTATGCTGGAACACACAGCAATGAACTAAAGGGATGAGGCTCCTGCTCTCCTAGTGCTTCCAGTCGGGAGGGGAAGACAGGCAGTAAACAAGTAGACACCCAGGTAAATGTGCGTGTAGTGGTTGGGACAGGTGCTTTGAAGGAGAGACAAGAGGGAGAGGCTGGGTGGCTATGGCAGAGCTCCAAGGGCTGGCTCCACAGAGAACCCAGGGCAGGGAAGGAGCAGACAGCACTTAGAGTCAGGAGCTACACCTGCAGGAGCCAGGGAGCTGCCAAAGGGTTTGGAGCAGGGCAGGACTGGCCAGGTCACCAGTGGCATGGACCAGAGGCCAGGGAGGGGCTGGAGCTGGGGTAGCAGGGGAACGATTAGAGAGCAAGTCTTAGTGACCAGGAGAGGTGGGAGAGGGCTGAGGAAGAACCTCCCAGAACGACCGCTGCCTGCCTTCCACCTGCCCACAGGCTGGTCATAGTGGCGCTCATCGGCGTGAGTGTGGCCTGGATCCCCGTCCTGCAGGGCTCCAACAGCGGGCAACTCTTCATATACATGCAGTCAGTGACCAGCTCCCTGGCCCCACCAGTGACTGCAGTCTTTGTCCTGGGCATCTTCTGGCGACGTGCCAATGAGCAGGTGGGTGTCGGGGGACAGGACTTGGTGGTCTGCTCTCCCTAGGGACATGCCACAGTTTGCTCTTCCCTACTGCCTGTGGGGGGAACCTTGGTCCTCCTCCCATAGCCCCACATGCCCTGTCTCCCTCCTCCCCAGGGGGCCTTCTGGGGCCTGATAGCAGGGCTGGTGGTGGGGGCCACGAGGCTGGTCCTGGAATTCCTGAACCCAGCCCCGCCCTGCGGAGAGCCAGACACGCGGCCGGCCATCCTGGGGAGCATCCACTACCTGCACTTCGCTGTTGCCCTCTTCGTACTTAGCGGTGCTGTTGTGGTGGCTGGAAGCCTGCTGACCCCACCCCCACAGGGTGTCCAGGTGAGCCAGCCCTGACCCCTGACCCTGACCCCTAACAGTTTCTTACTCTGGTCCTATTCTGATCCCCGACCCGTTCTGACTCAGAATTTTCTAGCCCTGGACTCCCTAACCCCATCCCTTTTTGAACTCAGCTGCCATCTTGCCATCCCCAACCTCTGATCCTGTCTGGGTCACCCCTACCCTGCCAGCCTCACCCCATCCCTATCCCCACTGGTTTCTTACAGATTGAGAACCTTACCTGGTGGACCCTGGCTCGGGATCTGCCCTTGGGAACCAAAGCAGGTAAGTGGGTGACCTTAGACACTCCTCCACCTTGACCCTGGGCTGGAGGCAAGGGCACCAGGTGTAGCCTTGTGTCCCACATCTGTCCCTCTCCTTCTGCAATCCCCTCCAGGTGATGGCCAAATGCCCCAGAAACACACTTTCTGGGCCCGTGTCTGTGGCTTCAATGCCATCCTCCTCATGTGTGTCAACATCTTCTTGTACGCCTACTTCGCCTGACACTGCTGCTCTGGGCAGGAAGGCAGGAGCTCCGAGTCCTCAGGTCCACCCTTTTCCCTCATGGGGATCCCGAGGCCCCAAGAGGGGCAGATTCCCCTCACGGCTGCACAGCAGCTCGGTGCCCAAGAACTGGCCAAGCCAGCAAAGCAGGAGCCCTGAAAACTTAGGGGGGAAATGGGAGAAAAACATGTGACATTTCAAAAACAGCGCCAAAGCAGTCATCATTGGAAAGAAAATTAGATTTCTGATGGACATCCTGATGTTGGTTTTACTGTCTTTGTTCTGAATACACAGGCCAGGTCAGGAGCAGTGAGATTTGCCAGCACTCAGGGCTGTAGGGTCTTGGGCCATCTCTGGATAAAGGGAGAGCCCCACATGCCCAGAACAAGGCCTCCCATTAAGGGACTGTAGCCACCTCCAGGGGCTCCTCCCTCCACCCACCTGCTCCCAAATGCCAGAGGGAGCCTCCTTGCCCTCCCTCCCTGCCCACCATCCCCTCAACCATCAGCCTGGCATCCAAAGCCTTTCCAAGTCCCACCTCACTTTTCCCGCTCCCAAAGGTGCCCAGGCTCTGGGCAGGCCCTGCTCATATCCCTGATGGTGGCACATTCTCTGGAGGACCCTCCTGTTCTCAGGTAGGGGCCATGCCCCACCTAGGTAGCTGTCCCATTGGGATCCTGTAGGATCTCTAAAACCCAGCTCTGGCACCAACTTTCTGTCTGGCCTGGAGGTTTCTCAGCCTCCTGAGAGCTCTCCTGGGCCCTGGTCTGGGCAGAACCCGGGCCTAAACAAACAAGAGCCAGGGCAGCCAGGGTCTCTGCGTGGCTGGGCCCAGGGCTTGCCCTCAGAGCTCACCTGTCCAACATGAGAGGAGTGTGCCTCCACCTTCCCTACTGCCAGCCCCTTTTTCAGGGTCTCAGGGCCTCTAGTCCTGTGGTGGGGCACAGGTGTTGGGTGCCCCAGGTGGAGTTGAAGTCATGGGGCTGTTGAGGAGTGGTGTCCACCTGGAGTCTGTCCAGTGAGTTTAGGTCAACAGGTGTGCAGTCTGTCCTTCCAGGTTGAACCACCTCCCAACAGCTCGTACAACTCGAGGGGCCTTTTGAGGGAGGGGCAGGCAGGCCCAGTGGGTGGTCAGCCCAAGGTGAACCCACCCACCATGGCCAGGGTTCCTCAGGTTGAGCCTCCAGTGGGTGAAACCTGGGAGTCCTCAACCTTCCTGGCAGATGGGGCCATTGACCAGAGGAGGTGGGTGGGGCCTCCACAGACTCCGCCCTGTCATGTCACATAGCTGGCAGCCAATGGGAAGCAACCAGCCAGGAAGCCCCAGAGCTACCCTTACAGGGTACCCTTGCTGGGGAGCCTGGGCCATCCCAATTTGTGCAAAGTGGCTGGAGGCAGTTAGGAGCCCACATTCAGTCCAAGGCCGTCCACTGAGCCCCATGTGACTCTGACCGGGCTGGGGGTGTCCATGTCCTCTCTGGACCTCAGTTCCTGTAAAATGGCCCGTCGGCCAGATCGGCCGCTGGGCTGCTCACAGGTGCACGGGCTGCACGTAACTCCGTGGAAAGAAGCCAACACGCCCGCAGGACCGGCCTCGCCACCAGTGGGGGTCTGGGCGCTCCAGGACCTCGATGATGTCGCCACGGCGGAAGCTGAGCTGCGAGGGGTCCTGGGCTGAGAAGTCAAACTGGGCCTGGGCAAAGCAGGCCCCAGGTGACTGCAAGAGGAGGAGGTGGTTAGTAGGGCGCTTTCAGAAGCCCTGCAACCCACCCTCCCTCAGAGGCACCCAAGAGAAGTGATTTGCCACAGGTGAGGAGGGGTCTGGGGCAGCACTGAAGTTGAACTTTAAGTCCAGATCAGTGGTGATGCCACCACTGGGCCTCCTGCTGCCCACACCCCTGCCTGTCTGCTGTGCAGATGCTGCATCTACCTAGAACACGGCTTTCCCAGCCGCCCAGCTGGGATCATAGGGCTGGTGGGCCAGGGGACCTGAGTCCTGGTCCTTAGTGTGGGATTTTGGTTAGGTCCCTGCTTTTCTTGGGATCTTATTTCCCTGACTCTGCAGTAGCCATGGTAGCTTCTGACTCCAGGTCACAAAGCCATGAGAATGGGCCTTATAAACTGTAAAGTGATATGCAGCTAAGAGCCATGTTTACTGTTTTTACCCTTGGTCAGCCACTGAGGGAGAGAATTGTCACTTTGAGCTCTCAGGCCTGGGTTCCAGTCCTATCCATGCCCCATGTGTGATGCTGGGTAGGTCCCTGCCCTTTGTGGAACTCAGTTTCCCCACCTGTGTGTGGCAGCTGGACAGGAGCTCTCTGCAGCACGTCTGCCTGGCACTGTGACTATTCCACCCAGCACCCTGGCCCTGCCTGCCCACCAGGATCTCAGCTCTGAACCTGCAGAATCTCATCCAGGGCAGGTGATAGGATCAGCAGAGAAGCTGTAATTAGCAACTGTCTGCCCAGGAAGGAGGAGGCGTCATGGGTCCCAGGGGCCTGAGGCAGCTCTGGAGTCGAGCCACAGGGTAGGTGACCCCATGGCCTGGGCCAGAGCGAGGTGGTGGGTGTAGGGGAACTCTCAGTTGCCCCTGCCCCAGCTCCGTCCTGGCTTCCTCACACTCTCCCAGGGCAGAGCTGGTTCAGGCGGTGAACAGGAAGGAGGATGGAGATCTGGCAGGCAGGGGCCCAGCTGGAGAGAAAAGTCCCCTGAGGCTGGGAGCTCACAGTGACCTGGACACTTGGTCAGGCAGGGAAGGCCAACAGAGGAGAAACTAGTGGGGGTCTCTCAAGGCACTGTTTGACTCTCCTGGCATATCAGACCCCAGGGCTCATCCTATTGAACAGAGGGGACACTGAGGGGATGAACTGGCCTCTGATCACATGCAAAGGTGGCAGGGGGCGGGTGCTGGGAACAAGACATGGCTGGAGCTTCTTTGCAGCGGTTATCAGCTTCTCCCCAGGCCTTGGCCACACTCCCCATCTCCTCTGCAGAGCCCAAGTTCAAGTGTCCCAGGGTCTTGACCTCCAGCCCCAGGCCTTGCCAGCATCCCCGCTCCTGAAGAAAACAGCCTGTTGGGGTTGATAACCCCAGTGGCTACTGTCGGCATCCTAATCAGCTTCAGAGCTGGCCCTTGGGGCCGCCTGATGAAAGGGCTGGCTGGCAAATTGCTGTTATTGCGAGGTCAAGGGGTGGACGACCCCCACCCCCCACCCCGTGGCTAGCCAGGACCTCGCCCACGAGCACTCACGCTGCCCCACACCCAAGGTCAACTTTTCTGCGAGCAGAAACCAGGACTGAGCCTACTGAGTAAGTGTCCTTGGATGTGTCACTGCACTCTCTGAGCCTTGGTTTCCTCATCTATATAATGGGCACGATGAGGCTCCCAGAGTATAGAGACCAGTTCAGTGCATGGTACGCAGTACACTCAGCGGGGGTCTCTACCTTCCTGCACTCGATGAACATTTATTGAGCACCTACTGTGTGCCACACACTATTCTAGGAGCTGAGAACAAGCTAGACAGTTTGTCCCCATGGGATTCTCCTTCTGTCCCTTGCTTTTCTTTCCCTCTTCTCCTTTCCCACCCCTGCAAGTCTCACCACAGCCACCACCAGTATATAACTTTGAGGCCTGGGCTGGACACCTCTTACAACACCAGGCTGCTGGGGAAGGGAGACCAGGCCTGTGCTTGGCTTCCATGTCAGCATTTCCCCTGCTGCAGATGGCAGGAGACGCAGAGAGGCTCCCACAGGCCAGCCCCCACCCGCCCCTACCTTGAGCAAGGGATCCTCGTCGCGCAGGAAGATCTGCCGCTTCTTGGCGATGGTGGTGGTGCGGTAGAAGTCGACCAGCTCGTTGAGGGAGTTGAACTTCTCCTCCCACAAAAAGTACTTCCCAGAGGCCTCACGCAGCACCTTGAAGTGCTGCACCTGGTCTCCATAGCTAGGGGAAAGGACATGGAGCCACCTCAGATGGTGGCCGTCCCAGCCTGGCATGGTCCCAGGGGCTCCCGTCTCACTTCCACCTGGAACCAGCCTGTCTCAGGGTGGGACCTGGAGTCAGATAAGGTGCAAGTGGGAGAGGCCGCACTGAGCCAGCTCCCCATGGGGTCTGGGGAGTCCCATCTGGCGGTGGAATGTGGGGTTAAGGGTGTGGGCTCTGAACCAGGCCACTTTCTCACTGTGTGACCTCATGCAAGTCTCTTAACTTCTCTGAAGCTCAGTTTCCTCATAATGATAACATCTCCATTATGGGTAAGTGCACAGTGGCTGGCATATTGGCAACGTGAAATAGGTACCTCTGAGTGCGTCGTGATCAGAGAGCGTCTCCACATCTTTTCGCCATTCCCCTCAGCTTGGACCTTCTCCCTGCTCCCCTGCTCCTCCCAGTCCCCATGGTCCCTTGGGGAGCAAGTCCTAGACTCATCCTGACTCAGACCAAAGCCTACTGCTATGAGAGGAGCTCAGACCTGTTGGATGTCTCATGTCCTCCCCCTCCCACGAACCTTCTATGGCTTCTCCCTTGGCCTCAGGGTAAATTCTCAACACCTCAGACTCAAGATCCGGCTCTACTTACATGTCCAGCTTCATTTACTTTATATCCTCTCCGATGAAGCAAACAGGCCCCTTTCTCTCTTATTCCCAGTCTGTGCCCAGACTTCCAGTCCACTACTGCCAAATCACCCCAAGTACCTTCTGGCCCAGTGGAGGAGAGAGCCTGCTCTTTCAAACTGGCCAGAGGCAGAGCCTGTCCTGGCTGGGACCAGGCAGAGGGACCTAACTGGAGCCTCTCACACTCGGCATGTCTCACCCGGGACAGGCTGCGTGGGGCTGGGACTGGAGGTGGTGCGGCTGTGGGTCAAGATCATGGCAGAAATGACTACGGCGCTGCCCTGCTGTGCTGCGGGGGTGGCTGGCCTGCCTCACGGCCCAGGAGGAGCAAGTTGGGCCCTGTGTTTTAGTTTCTCCACCCGTCATCCCTGGGGTGGCTTGCTGCTTTATTGATGTTTTAAGATGAAAGATTTCAGATAAAGATATGTTCAAGGCCGGGCAAGGTGGCTCACGCCTATAATCCCAGCACTTTGAGAGGCCGAGGCGGGCAGATCACGAGGTCAGGAGATCAAAACCTTCCTGGCTAACACGGTGAAACCCTGTCTCTACTAAAAATACAAAAAAAAAAAATTAGCCAGGTGTGGTGGCGGGCGCCTGTAGTCCCAGCTACTCCAGAGGCTGAGGCAGGAGAATGGCGTGAACCCAGGAGGTGGATCTTGCAGTGAGCCGCACCACTGCACTCCAGCCTGGGTGACAGAGCGAGACTCTATCTCAAAAAAAAAATAAAAAAGATGTGCTCAAGGTTCACACCCTCTGGTCTGTATGAGGCGTAGGGCAAAATGGGATTCCCCCTACTCCATTCCAGTCAAGGGGTCCAAACCACTTCTAAACACACTTCCAGGCATTTGCACACAGTGTGTCCTCCAGCTGCAAGGAATTTTTCTTGAACTCCTCATACCTCAGTGGGGAAACTGAGGCCCTGAGTGCAGCCACGACCTGCCCAGAGCCACAGCTGCAAGAAAAGGTCAGAGCTGGGGCCACATCTGAGTTCACACATATAAAATGTTGCCTAGTGTCCTCCCGATTGGTTATTATCACAAAACAATAGCAATAATAATTATTCCAATTATGATATTACTGTTGTCCCAGATCTCATCATTCCAAGTCCATTTCTACTCTGCCATGTTGCTACCTGGGCTGTGCCCCCTAGGAGACCCTCCCTCCCTGCCTCGTCCTCTCTGCCTGGTCAAACCTTAGCTACCCTTCCCAGCTCTATAGCCAGCCTGCCTGGACTTACACCCCAGCCCCCTCTCTGGGCCTCCGCGTCCTGGCCTGCCAAATGTGGGCATTAGTGCACTACTCTCAAGGGAATTGAGAGGCCTGGGACGCTGGGGGCTGTGCGGGTGCTGCCAACAGAGCCGCCCTAGGCCCACCTGGCTGGGCTAGGGGCTGTGGGGAGAACATAGAACAGTCCCAGCTCCCAACCAGAAAGAAGACAGTTTAGGACCCCGAGGGAGGGCACCTGTTCAGGTGGCTGGCACAGCTGATAGCTGGGAAAGCCTGGGACCCTGTGAGTGGGGTGAGGCAGGGTAGGGGCACAGGATGGCCACTGGGAGGTAGATGGCCCCTCAGCCTCCTGAGCCACAGGCTAGGGATCTTTTTGTTCACATTTGGGCTAAATGAGATCCAACCACCAGTCCAAAGCACTTGATAACTTGATGGTACACATGCGCGCGCACACACACACACACACACACACACACACACACGCCTCCTGGGGTGTAAATTAAAATCTGGTTAAACAATTTGGTTGCAATACATTTGCAAGCTGGGATTCACCCACAGCCTGAATTCCTTCAGGTCTATGGTTATCCTGAACAAGAGGGTGGTGTCTGTCACCCCAGCTGCCCGGATCTGCTGCTCCATCTGTCCTATCCCCGCCTGTGGTTTAGTTTCTCTACCAGTCATCCCTGGGGCGGCTTACTTCCTTATTGATGTTTTAAGATTAAAGATTTAAGATACAGATGTGTTCAAGGTTCCCACCCTCTGGTCTGTATGAGGCATAGGGCAAAATGGGATTCCCCCTACTCCATCACAGTCAAGGGGTCCAAACCACTTCTCTCTTTTTTTTTTTTTTTTGAGACGGAGTCTCGGTCTGTTGCCCAGGCTGGAGTGCAATGGCGAAATCTCGGCTCACTGCAACCTCTGCCTCCTGGGTTCATGCGATTCTCTCGCCTCAGCCTCCCAAGTAGCTGGGATTACAGGCACCCGCCACCACACCTAGCTAATTTTTGTATTTTTAATAGAAACGGGGTTTCACCAAGTTGGACTGGCTGGTCTCAAACTCCTGACCTCAGGTGATCCGCCCACCTCGGCCTCCCAAAGTGCTGGGATTACAGGCGTGAGCAACCGTGCCCAGCCCCAAACCACTTCTAAATACACCTCCAGGCATTTGCACACAGTATTTCCTCCAACTGGAAGGAATTTTTCTTGAACTCCTACTCATGCCTCAAGGCCCAGGTAAAATGGCCCATCCTCTGAGAGCTGCATCAGATCCCATCACGCAGAGTCAGGGCCTTCTTGGGTCCCTCAGCCCCTCTCACACCCTTCTTGTAACTTGCTATTCATAATGATTTGCATATGAGACACTAAAAAGGCAGGGAGGCAGGAGTGGGCCGTGAAGGTCCTGGGACTCAGCGAACACAGCATCACTGCCCAGGCCTTAGGTCCTCATTGCGATGCTTTGTTCTTGAAACCCTCTTCTGTTGGTTCTGAACTGGGATGGCAGCCCGCCAGGTGTTCTGACCCTGAACCCAGGCTCTGGTAGCCGACCCATTGCTCTAAGATGCATCCAGCCCTCAGGGTCACAAAGCCAGAAGGGGAGCCAGTTCTCCCCATGAGAAGAGAGGCTCTCGACAGGTGGAACAATGGTCCCCAAACCTCAGACAAAGGTGCTCACGTGCCGTCAGAGGACCTCGTTCCCAGTGACTCAGCCACTTGTGTTGCCAGCTGTGGGACATATGTGCCCATTTGCTCGTGACGCGGAGGTGGGTGTGCAGGCAGATGGATGTCTCCCGCCCTGTCTGGCCTGCCGAAGCCTCCCAGAGGCTTCCGAGAGGCAGCCTCTGAGCCCCATGACTCCCTAGTGCCACGTGCTAACCAGCCCAGGGTTTACTGGACTTTGGTCGTGGTGCCCGGGGAGGAGCAGTGCTTCAAGAAGTGGAGTGACAGTGACGCACAGCTGGGCAGGCGAGAAGCCTGGAGACAAGAATCCCAATGGCTCCACCTCTGGGGCACCGGGTACCCAGGCAGAAGGCCCTGACTCTCTTGGCCCCGAGGAAGGGCTTGCATACAGGTGGCCTCACTCCTCTGAGTGAGGGGACAGAACGGGTGTGGTGGGTTTGAAAAGGATTTCAACCCCAAACAACCACAACTTTGAATTTTATGGTATTTGTTTTTGTTTGCTTGTTTGTTTTTGAGAGGGGGTCTTGCTCTGACGCCAGGCTGGAATGCAGTGGTACCGGCTCACTGCAACCTCCACCTCTGGGTTCTAGCTATTCTCCTGCCTCAGGTTTCTGAGTAGCTGGGATTACAGACGCCCACCACCACGCCTGGCTAATTTTTGTATTTTTAGTAGAGATGGGGTTTCACCAAGTTGGCCAGGGTGGTCTCGATCTCCTGACCTCGTGATCCACCTGCCTTAGCCTCCCAAAGTACTGGGATTACAGGCGTGAGCCACCATGCCCAGTTAAATTTTATGGTATTTGAAGGTCATCTTTAGATACTTGGAAAGTTATCTGGAGCAGTTCTCTGACCATGTAGTAGAGTCAGGGAGTGGAGAACAGGAGATAAGAGAAAGGGAGCCAGGGACCCAGGGATTCTACGGCTTTCCAACCTGGGAATTGAAGAATTCTCAAATCTGGAAACGTGCATGTGCCAGTCCCTACCTAGTCTGTGTGTGGCACACACGAGGTGCTCAGCAAATGGCAAATCTTGTCCCTACTCCCACCTGGTCCAAACGTCCTGCTTTACAGCAGAGGACAGTGAGGCTTGGGTGCAGCCCCTCCTGCTGAGCCAGTCCCTGCCTGAGGCCAAGCGGTGCTGTCTCCATCTCACAGCCCAGCACCCCAGCAGTCACTCCCTCTCCCAGCCTGGCCCTTTTCCCCAACGTGATTGGGCTCTTGCTCATGGCCCTCACCAGGAATAATGCCTTTTCCCTTTTCTCTGTCTAGTCTTGGCCTTAGCCATCCTTCAAGGCCCAGGTTCAGGAACTGAATCTGAGTCCAGATGGCCCCGGAACGAGGAGGGCTGGATCCAGTGCAGCCAGCTCTGCGGCATGAGCCTCCCAGAGCCAGAGGAGGGAGAGGGCACTGGGATTGTGGGCCTGAGTTG